AGATCATTAAAACAGATATTATTTCGTACATTAATGCTACGCCTTGTCTTGGTGGCCATTTGGAAATTCCATTGCTAAAATATTTTCATTACATGCAAACTCACTACAGTCTACATAGAGGTGCCAGTTATGATGCTTATGGACCATGTCACTGAGGTGGTTGTTTTTAACACTGAATGCTTAATAGTGTCTGTGTCAGAAAACTACTATTTGAAATCTTAGAGCTAAACAAACATTTTCTAAATGGATTCGGGAAAATCAGGAAATAAAATAGCACCTTCAGGGCATCTGCCAGCTTTATTTTGTATTGAGTGTGATAGAAGTTCAGCTAAGCTGGCAGGCTGTCACCTGTATTTTCCCCTGTGTACTTACCTTTCAGGGATGCACCAAAGAATGAGACAGTGTACTACACCTTGTGTTAGGCTACTAATCTGTGTTACCTTGTTGAGCAATATTTTTTTTTATATGTGCACTCCTTTTAGGGAATAATTCTGTAATGAGGAGCTTTCCAGATATTGTAAGGTGTCTTTTCAGCTGCTGACTAAAGAGCATTGTGAGAGAATGTAATTGTACTAAGCACATTCATATACTTACTATATACATACTGTAATATAGTAATTTGAATTGTTCCCTTTTTAGCTTTGTTACAATAGTCACGTGTAACACAATGAAAGAAATGCAGTATCACTTTAGCCTTTCACTTTTTAAACAGTTGATAACACATTTAGAAGCTGCAGATGTTTCATGCAGATTCACATGATGTAAATGAGATCGCTGAATAAGTCTTTAACAGTTACTACCTGATAGGTGTTGCTTCTTTAACTAAAACCAGGATGTAAATCCATACAATGAATAAGATGTCAGGCCCTGGGGAATGAGCACTAGCTTACTTGGAACAGTGCTTCTCAAGCAGTGCACAAAATACGCATTTGTCATACAATAATGACAGTGGACCTGCCTGTCCTTTTAGAAAATTGAACAAAATTTGTTAACCTTCAAGGATCAGTTAGACAGTCCAGTGGTAGTGAGTTGCTATTTAAGAATCTTTTCCTCCTTTACTAAATCTCTCTTTTGGGTCACTGCATTCTAAAATACTGAAACTTAAACCTTTAGTAGATATATCAGGTAGTGAGGGATATGATAGTGGGGTGAAAAAAAAGTTGAGATTATTATAAGAATTTTTTTTTTTTTTTTTTTAGGACAGGAATGTGGTATACATGGCTTGGAAAGTGTTCAACTGTCAGCATAGTAATTCATATTCATACTGCTACAGGGGGTATTCTTCTACACTTGTGAAGCCAGATTGCCATGGGAAAATGAATGCATTTTAACCATAGCTCAGTTTTGATTTGTTTAACTTCACAGTTATGGTGCCCTGTCTTCATATCTAACTGACGTTCCAGAATTTCCAAAATCCCTTTATTGTGATACACAAACAGTTCAAATGACAGTCTAATATAGCCTTTATTCTTTTCTCTTTTGACACTTGTTTTTTCCCACCACTGTAAAGACCATGTAGTGGCTTTCTAGATTCATTTAGCAGTCTTGTATTTATGCTTCATACACTTTAATAGGCCTAAATGCTCTTCAGTCTTTTAAATTTTTTTGGAAATAGCAGGTTTGTTCTCTTCCAGTTGTTTGGCCGTGCTTAAGATGAGAGCATAGATGTGTGGGATAACCTGAAGAATGAAAAGGTAGTATTGTGCAGGAAGGAGAAACAGCCAACGTGACACTGCTGGGCTCAGTTTATTAAGTGGACCAGCTGAGGTGTAGGCTGTGTCAGGTATGCTCCTGCTTGCATACGTGCATACAGTTACAATTAATAGAGAGCTGTGCCAGTTACCACTGAGATGAGTCAGCACAGTGAAGCCTGGAGGAACTGCAACTCTTGCTCCAGCCAGTCAATGTCAGGCTCTGGGTGATGGCTCGACACCAACAGGTAATGGTTCCACCTCAGATGCTCAGCGTCTATTTGGTGGTGGGGGTCCACATGCCAGCGTTCTCCCCTGACCCCTCTTACTGCCGGAGGTATAGTCAGATTTTGGCAGAGGCTGCCCATCACATCTCTCAGCATTGATATAATCATACAGTTTTTCAGCAATTTCAGGTTTTGTTCTTCTGTCACTTGTTGATCTGTGGCCTTTACTGAAGCTTGTTGCAGTCAGTTCTGTCCACTCTGGCTCACTGGACTCAGTTCCTCAACCCTTGATTGGGGAAGGTTGCAGTGCTGCTGCTGACAGGTTAGCTAACTGCTCTGTGGCATTTCCTGCATGCTGGCATTCCAGAGAGCACTGCATGGACAAGAAGGAAAAATATTTCACTGCAGAATGTTGAGATTTTAATGGTGTTTGTTGTTGTCTTCCCAACTGTGATAGTGTTTGGCAGTTTGGCCCCACATGTAAATTTTTAGGATACAAGCAAGAACAAGTACAGCTAACAGAAGTAGCCAACGGAAGCAGCAGTTTGCACTGCAGTTCATGCAGAAAGGTCCAGCAGCTCTGCTCAGAGTAGCATCCACGTCCTCAGCAATGGTGGTGATGGGCCCCAGGACACAGTCCCCAGCTGCTGCTGGACCAGCTATCCCTGTAACATCAGAGGCCTCAACCCAGAGGGAGCTCCAGAATGAGGACACAGCCTTGCAGGTCTGGGGCTGCAGGGAATGCCTGTGGTCTCTTGCCAAGGCTGGAGCAGCAGGAGATGGTTTCCTTGCCCATAGGAGGTGTGCAGTTATTAAGGATCTGTGTCATCAAGTAAAGAAGCTGCAGGAGGAGGTCAACAGTCTGCACAGCATCAGAGATAATGAGAAAAGAAGCTGACCAGATCTTTTCCAACACTCTGCAGCTTCAAGAGCCCACATTACTAACTGTACTGAGGGGGGAGGATCAGGCAGAATCTGTGCCTCTGTGTTTGGGAAGTAGAGACTCCCGTGATGATGAAAGTTGGAAGATAACGGCTTCTGGCACTAGGAGGAGGGCTTCTGCTCCACCTGACGATTTGCAGCTACGGAATAGGTTCACTGACCTCATGGCTGATGAGGAACTGGGAGCTGTTAAATAAAGTGTCTGTGCCTTTTGAGTTTGAACCACACAGGAGCACCAAAAGGAAGAGGCAAGTGATAGTAATGGGAGACTCCCTTCTGCAGGGAACAGAAACCCCCATCTGCCAACCTGACTTATTCTTTATGGGAATTTACTGCTTGCTGGGTGTTTAGATTTGGGATGTAGTGGACATTGGGATGTTTGGGATGTTGTAAAAAGACTGCCAAAGCTTGTCCCCTCCTCAGACTATTGCCCCCTGCCACTTTTCCATGTGAGCACCAGTGATACTGCCAGGGGTGACCTGGAAAGTCTCAAGCATGACTACATGGATCCAGAGACAATGGTCAAGGGAATGGGAGCTCAGGTGTTTTTCTTCTTGATCCTGCTGGTGAGAGACTAGATGAATCCTGCAGGTCAACAACTATCTACACAACTTATGTAGGCAACAGGATTTTGGTTTCTACAACCATGGGACCCTCTTTCTGAGGATCAAGGATTGATATTCAACTAAGTGGGGCAAAAGTATCTTTACCAGCAGGAAGCTTTAGGGCAAGAATGATGGGAGAGGGAGAAGATGACCAACATGAAGTGAGAAGTAGACTGGGTTGGCAAGCAAAGAATCTGCTGTGATATGAACAAAAGGGATGCTGTAATCAACAAAACAGGGCTGATCTGGGGTTGCTCCAAGTGTACACACAAAAATTAGGATGTGCCTACAGGACAGCATTACGTGGAAAACTCTCATTCCTTTTCTGGGAAGTCACTGTGACCCAGTTCTTCTCTGAAGTCCCTATATGGCATGCTTGTGTTGTACAAGGAGAGGCTGAAAGAGCTGGGATTGGTTACCCTGGATAAAGGAATGCTTAGGAGGGATCTTACATACATAAAAACATCTAATGGGAAGGGGTAAAGAAGACAGAACCAGACTTTCTCCATGGTATCCCATAACAGAACAAGAGATAATGGGCACAAGTTGAAATAAAAGAAATTCCATTTCAACATAAGAAACACCGGAACAGATTGCCCAGAGAGGTTTTGGTCACTGCAACCTTCGAGATTCTCAAAACCCACTGGACATGACCCTGAGCAACCTGCTCTGATTGAACGTGCTTTGAGCAGGGTAGTTGGACTAGATGATCTCCAACCTGAACAGTCCTGTGATTCTAGGAACTTCATTCTAGATATGAGAGTCAGATCAATTGAAAAAAGTGTCAACTCAGCATTATATGCATGTAGCTCTGGAAGAGCTACTCAGAAACCTTTTGGTGTGAAGTTGTTCTTGTTTCTGGTTTTGCAGGAGTCAGAAACTCTTGACTGAAAATTAGAGTGACTAAGAGCCATCAGTGAGTAATGCCAGTATGCTAGAGAATCTTTCTGATCTTTGATGCTATTTGTCTAATTTTCAGTGCTAGCTCTGAGGCAATAAAGTGGCAGGAAAATAAAATCTAAAACTCCTTAGAGTTCTGTATTTTGTTACTTAAAAAGTAGAAATTCTTTCAGAAGTTGATGTAAAGATTTGTAGAGTGATGTTGCACACATGCATACCATGGATAGATCAAGTACCCACTAATTATACTTTGATTTTCCTATATTGTGTGTGTCTGAATGTCTTGTTGACTTGAATGTCTGTAAACATTCTTATTGAGGCTGTTGCAAAATATGGTTAGCTTTTCCTCTTCATTGCAGTAATGGGTCGTCATATAATATGACTTTGTTTAAGCTGACTGCTAATGTTAGCTTGAGACTGGTCATTTCAAGTTGTCCTTCTCCCTCGTCAATAATACAGATAGGTAGGCTGTTATGTTATACACCTAGATTCCAAAGTTAGACGTGCACAAATTTGGCAAATAAAACCAGTCTGTTAAGCAATATTGTAATAAAGAAGAATTTTATGGAAGTATACCCGTGTATTTAAGTGGTCTGCTAACTTCCACTAATGTTTTCCCTCCTTCTTCTCCATAGAATGTGTATGTAAACATAAACCGCATCATGTCAGTAGCAAATCGTCTGGTCGAGTCTGGCCATTACGCTTCACAGCAAATAAAACAGATTGCCAGTCAGTTGGAGCAAGAATGGAAGGCTTTTGCTGCAGCCTTGGATGAACGTAGCACGTTACTGGATATGTCCTCCATCTTCCATCAGAAAGCTGAACAGGTTAGTGAATGAGGAGGGTGCCAACAAAAGGTTCCATGCTGGAATGGTGAGTTGTACTGTTTGCTTTTGATTCAGACGGAAGTACAAGAGAGTGAAAAGATGGGCAAGAAAGCCAGAGCATTCATTTCTGCTGATTTCACCTGATACTCAAACTAAACCTTGTTCTCCTCTGGAAAGCCCGCTGCCCTTATGTTCTCCACAAAACGCCTTGCCCATATCAATGCAAGATAAAGCTTAGGCACATTAGCTATATGAATCAAAATGAAGTGGATATAAATGCTTAACTATATGAAGCTTTGAGGTTGAAGGAAACAAAGGAAAAAATATAGTGTAGTCAGTATCGATATAATGCCTTTCATACATCCAGAAATCATCACTTGTTCTATTGTCCTCGCTACTCCACCCCAATCAATCCTTGAATATCAAGATTTAACTCATAGTAATTGCTTATAGAAAACTAAGTTGGACTGGCCTGAAAGTTGAAAAGTTAATTAGCTGTCTTCTGAATCTGAAATTGTGGTGGGAGACGTTTACTTAGTATCCCATAAGAGATTCCTCCTATATTAAACAAAAATTTTAGCTTTAGGCGTATACCAGTTATTTTAATTAAGTCATTAAATGTGTGTAACTGCCAGAGAAGAGATATATGTAAGGGAAATAGGAATAAATATCCCCAAGTTAATAGTCTTGATGGTGAAAGCATGTTTTCCCCTCAAGGGAATTAAGTTCTGAAGGAGCTGCTATATGTGTGCTCTTGAGTCACCCATTGATATTATAGACTGTCTGTTTTGTATATCTCTGTTGAATTTGGAGAGCAGAGATTCTTGAATGGTTATGACTGACTGAAGCTCTGGTGTGCTGTATGGCTGCTGTACATACTTTTCTTTCCATTTGCCTTGCTAAATTGGATCCAAGAAAAGGTCTCATGTCTGATACAATTTTAATTTGGAATAAATGAAGGAAGCACTTGGGAGTTGATAACTGTGGAAATAGAGGCAGCACACTTTATTTTAAAAAGTTTTTTTTTTCTGATTTCTACTGCACGGATATTCAGCTTCATGAATGTCCAGAAATTAGAAATGTGTACTTATTAAGATGCAAATACACATTGCTTTTCATTACATTAGTGGTGACATTGGTTTAACTGTCCTTAGACAGACTAAGGTAAAGTATATAAACTGATGCCACTATAATAAGTATTTTAGCAGGTTTTACAGAAAAACCGCATAAAAAGGAGATGAAGGAATTGTTTTTTGGTATAAACCAACCAGCTTGAAGCATTTGATAGACGCAGTGTGGTACCTTATCAGTATTGATGCTTTTCTAATTGCTTGGATGATTCAGGTTTACATTTAAGCACTGTCAGCTATACACTTAGGAGAAAGATATATCATAGAATGGTTTGGTTGGAAGAGACCTTAAAGATCATCTAGTTCCAACCCCATTGCCATAGGCAGGGACATCTTCCACCAGACCAGGTTGCTCAAAGACCCCTCCAACCTGGCCTTGAACACTTCCAGGGATGCGGCAGCCACAGCTTCTCTGGGCAACCTGTGCCAGTGCCTCACCACCCTCATGGTAAAGAATTTCTTCCTAATATCTAGTCTAAATCTTCCTCCTTCCAGTTTAAAGCCATTACCCCTTGTCCTGTCACTCCATGCCCTTGTAAAAAGTCCCTCCCCAGCTTTCTTGCAGGCCCCTTTAGGTACTGGAAGGCTGCTGTAAGGTCTCCCCAGAGCCTTCTCTTCTCCAGGCTGAACAACCCCAACTCAGCCTGTCTTCACAGGAGAGGCGTTCCAGCCCTCTGATCATTTTTGTGCCACTCCTGTGGACTCGCTCCAACAGGTCCATGTCCTTCTTGTGTTGGGGGCCCCAGAGCTGACGGCAGTGCTGCAGGGGTAGGTCTCACCAGAGCAGAGTAGAGGGGCAGAATCACCTCCCTCGACCTGCTGGTCACGCTGCTTTTGATGCAGCCCAGGATACGGTTGGCTTCCTGGGCTGCAGGTGCATGTTGCTGGGTTATGTTGAGCTTCTCATCAACCAACACTCCCAGGTCCTCCTCAGGGCTGCTCTCAATCTGTTGTCTGCTCAGTCCGTGTTTGTGCTTGGGACTGATGGTGAAACATAAATAGATAGGTATACCCTGACTCAAATGCTGTCCTTTTTCATGAGAAAATGATGTTCATCAGGAGTCAGGGGAGGACTAAATTTGTGTGTGTGTGCTGGGCAGCTGTGATAAGGGTCAATATTACCTCCTTTAGCAGTAAATGTAAGTGTAAACAGGAGGAAAGAGAAGAATGAGAGAAAATAGTGCAGTATCTGCTGGGATTAATTTACTTTTTAATTGTTCCTTTTTCTGGTTTTCCTTTTGTGATTAACTGTAATGGATTGTCCTAGTTGCTTCGTAAGATATCTGACTGTGATGTATTAGCTGTTTCATTAACAGTGGAGAGTGAGTTCAAGGAAAGAGGGTTTGGAATGAGAGGAGTGACCCCTGTAGAAACTGGTGATGCTTGACCTACATAAAAAGTTGGTTAAAAAATAAGCAACCAAAGAAATAACACACCCTTCTTGAATGCATGCGTTCCCTTGCAAGTGACAGGTAAGTGTCACTGCCTACTGTCAGACACAGTGAAGACTGCACCCAGCTATCAGTGCCTGATGACGGGTGCGAGGCGTGTAACTCTGTGGTCCCACATGGAGCTTCTTTTAATATTCAGTGCTTAACGTTAGAGATTTTTAAAATTATCCTTTGATGAAATTAGATTAAATAAATATCTTAGAGTTAAGTACTATATCACCCTTCCTCCCAGCTTTCAAATAATAATGGAGTACCAGAAATGGTCTGTGGATTACTCTTTCCTCAAAAGACTACATGTGCTTCAGGAATTAAGATGGGTATGATGAGAGAAATGGCTTGGTCTCTTAAAACTGCTGAGACTTGAACTTGACATGAATAGAGGACAAATTTAGTTTACAGATACCACATGTGCTTGGCTGTACGAAGTTAACAGCTATCAAAACTCCTAGAAAAACAGATTTTTTTCCTCTTTCCTTTCCTAGCATAACAAGGGTATAAAATTCATGCCCCCTAGCTGTCAAAAATAAGCTGACAGAACTTCTGCTGTGCATACAGCTATGATGGCAGTCTCTTGTCTGTCAAGACAGATTAAGCTTCAGAGATAACTTAAATTGTCTGCAGAAGAGATTCTGGTTTAGTACCCTCAATTTCCCCTGAAAGGCTTGACTTGAGCAGCTATGCTGACATAGCTGTGTGTTCAAAGTTCAGTGTTAGTCCTGAGAGACCCGCGCTTAAATTGTAAATCCCTTACATGCTTGGTGCTGTAGTAGCTTGCCAAATGGCTTTAGTGCTTCTCTGCATGTAGAAGTTAGTGCTTTGGGGATGGAGGTGTGAATTTGCTGTGCTCTAACACTGCTTTGCCTCCTTGATGACCTCTTTCCAGAAAAAGACAACTATGGCGTGTTTCAGTGAATAGTTCACCGTTAATTCTTTGTGTGTGTGTCCATGTGCATAGACATGCAAAGTAACTTGGTTTTCTCTGAAGATTTAAAAAAGGTGAGGTGATACCTCATGATAGCATGAGTATCTGCACAGGGAGTTGATGGGTAAGAGCTGAGGGTCTGGACTTAAAAATTGTAGCACGTTTTACCTCTTTGTGTAGGCAAGACCTTAATTGGCTTTCATGCATCTGAAATGGTAGGTGCAGGGTAAAGTAAACTTTTTCTTAGCTGTAAAGTCAAGAAAAGGAGCAAGAGTAAACTTGAAGCATCAATACTGCTGACAGTTTAATTGGTTCTGAAGGCTGCCAACATAAAACTAAGCATGCCTGCCTGTGAATGGCTCAGAGTTCCGTATAACTAAAAGCACAAGTGTAGCCAGACTTGAATGTTTGTTTCTATTCTTATATAAGCTTCGTTTTGGTCAGTTGTGAGAGAAATACATTAAATATTTTTCCTTTTAAAAAAATCTTTTCAGTGGCTGTCACACGGATGCCAGTCCTTTTGTATATTACCAACATCTGTGTACTTACTGATAGAACCCAAAATCAAGGGGAAAGTTTTTTCTCTGTTGCAGTACATGAGCAATGTGGACTCATGGTGTAAAGCCTGTGGTGAGGTGGAGCTTCCCTCAGAACTGCAAGATTTAGAAGATGCTATCCATCATCATCAAGGGATATATGAGCATATTACCTTGGCTTACTCTGAGGTAAGTGTCTTGTTTGTTTCCTCCGGTTGCTGACTTGATAAAACAGTGCAATAGTAAGTTTGGATAATGAACTGGCATCACTTCTTGCATTAGTTGGAAACTCAACTGCCAGGCTTCTTTTTTAATTTAGTGTACTCGACTTTGCTACTATTGTTCAAAAGGTAAGTGATAAGTCTTCTCGTTAATCTTCTGAAATTAAATTTAAAAGGCAAAATGGAACCACGCGTGGTACAAATAACCCATGCAGTGTACTACGTATGTTTTAATGTACATTTGCATATTACTATGTTTTATTAGCAGTATGATACTATTGTTTAAACATTTACTTGAAGGGAAGTTAGCTGGGTGTTCTTTGGAAAAGTATTCTGTGGGCATGGATTGCTTGAAGTGTGCTTTGAAAACGCATCTCTCAAATTGCCTCACAAAAAAGGCTTAGCCATCAAAGGACATCACTTGACAAGCCAGAAGGTAATATACTTAGTTCTGCCAACCTCAAAAACACTTAAATGAGCCAGTGTGCCTATGTAGTCAATATTCATAAGATGAGCACATCCTATGCTGCTGCTCTAATCTTCGATTCTGCACAGAATGAAGTAATAATATTTATCAGTATTTCTATTAGTTGTATTTACAACTTAAGATAAAATGCTTGTTCTGAAGGTGGCGTAGAAAGCAGTGACTAAAGTATCTATTGTTTTTCTTCAGATTTTGAGTTCTGTCATGTGCTTTAGTTAGCTGAAGTAAGAAATCAAATGAGTATTGACTTCACTATTAGCTAACAGTTATTTTCTGTATTTCCTGTTGAGCTTTTCTTGCTTTCTTTTGCCAGGGTTGTTCTCATCACAGGGTAAAACTATTTTTGCTGTTAAATTGGACTGATGTTATTCTGGATTAAATACGGCAGTTTCTGTTCTCATGAAAGTTCTGTAAAATTATGCATTTGATTAAATCATGGTAAAAAATGGTCAGTGGACACAGAATAGCTCAGACCATAGCTTGCACCTTCTTTTAAAAGGAGGTCATGTGGGATTGAATTAATGGTTGTGATTTATACATTACATTAAAGATAAAACTACTTTCTGATGAACCAGCTCTGTTATGGGTAACTGTATCATATGTCTGGTCACATTTCATTTAGCAGTAAAGGAGGGCAAGATTAGTGCTGATGACCCATCCTATTGTTAGTATATCAAAACTGGGTTTTTCAAATACCTGTCATTTTAGGACCTGCATAAACTTTATTATCATGAGTCAAGTGTCCAGAGTTCACATGACTTGTTGTTCTTTTGTGTAAAATACACACCGATAGCCCCATTCCAGGATATACGCCACCTTGCTATGTCAACTGATCTCATGACGTACTGAAGCACACCTTTGGTAGTAAAACTTGTGATCTTACTACAGATACCTGTTTTAACTCATTCTTGAGAGCATGTTTTGTAGAATGATTTCTTTGTCATTATAACCTCTCTTCGTTGGGAGGATCCCTTTGTAAAACACAGGACAGAGACATAGCATGTTTGTAGTAGATTTATGTGAAGAGAGGCAGTCTGGGGTACATGCTTCATGAGAGTGCTGCAGGGAATAAGAAGGCTAGAACTCTGCAAAATAACGATTATAAAGCATTGAAGTTGAAATAGTAGGGTTTTTTTATTTGATTTTGTTTGTTTTGGAATGGGATTTTTTAGTTTTTGTTTTTTTCAACAGGAATGTGACTGAATTAGAGCCTGCTGTTAAGTGCAAATAAGTACTGTGGATTACCGTGTTGAATACTGTTTGCTTCCTGGCGATGCATAATGAAAATAAATGAAATGGGTAGATTATAGGATTGTTCTGGCAAATACCTTGAAAATTTATTTAGGATTTCAAAGCTGTAGCTTTTGACTTTGGGACAGCTAGAGATTTTAACAAAATCTCACTGGTACTGCGCAAAAAAAAAATAAAAATCCAACATTTGATGCTTTTCTTCTGATTTCAGGTCATTACTTTTCCCCATCTGGTAAACCAATAGCTTTGTCTTTAGCAACCAGAATTGATGCAGAAATAATAGTTGTATGTGTATGTACAAGTCGTGTTCCTTCTCTGGACAGAATGTTTTATTTTGCCTTGTTTAAACAAGCATTCCTTTTTGAAGATTGATGGAGTTGTCTTTCTGTGTAAAGATATTACAGAACTATTACTTATCATTATTAGATGTATGACTTCATTTCTGTTACAGCACTAAGCTCCTTTCATTTTGTGATGAATGAACAGTGAGGGGAGAGAGAGAGAGGAACTCTGGAAATTACAACACTTTGTCATTCATTTTAGATTACAATGTCTTGACAACAGGACTTGGTTGCAAAGTAGAAGACAGTAATTTTAAGAGAGTAAATGCTTTTAAGACTAGACAGCCTGATTTTACTGAGGATAATTACTGTATATTACTAGAAAAGTAACTTACTAGCTTACAAGCTTAGATAACTGGTATGCTTGAAAATCCAATAGCTGTGCCTTAAATGAAGTTTATATATATAAATGAAGTTATATATCTCACTGAAATCTTAAGGTATTCATGCACTGGAAGGGAAGAAAACTTTACTATGTTAAATCCAAAGAGGAAATGTGCATGATCATTTGTTTGTAACGCTAATAAAGTAATCGGATCAAGGGACTGTCACAATTAATTATTTTTTCCCCTAAATTTCATGGAGTCTGGATAGATAATTGAAGTCCATTATCTTGAAATATTTGAAAGACTTGTACTAGATAATTGCTTTGGATACAGAAAAGAAAAAAAAGTTGTCATTATAATAGCTACTATGGACTATACTCTTTTTCTGCCTGACTTGACTCTGTAGGAGCTACTTTTCCAAGTTAGCTTCACTCTCTGTGTTGATACGTATTACTAAAATGAAAAAGCTTAAATTGGAACTGAGAAATAAACTCACTTGTAAACTAATTATTGGAAAAGAACTTTCATTCAGATCTGTTTGACTACTGAATAGCAAATTTAAAATGTGCCTAAATTTAGTGAAAATTGTTGAAAATAGCCACTGGGGGAAGACTTTGACAAATTTTCTGTTTGTGACATGGTGTTGATTTGATGAATTCAGACCATTGTCTACGCTCCAATCTTGTGGTTTCAGATGAATTTTTCCTGCCTGTTATATGAGCTATTAGAAAAGTTCTTAGAAAAATTCTTTAGAGATAGCTAAATGATACTGAATTGTAACAGTTCTCTGAGCTTCATGCTAAAAGTGACAGAATAGTTAAACGCCAATGAAAAGGGCTTTCAACAGCCTTGCAAGTGCTGAATGTTAATAGTGACCAGATAAAATACTATTATTGCTTTTTAATTAGCATGCAAGGTAAATCTGAATATTTTTGCTGTGGTTTGAATTGGAGAAGACAATTAGTAATGACTGATGTTTCTTGTCAGCATCAGTAGTTAGACACATTTTGGAAAAGAGTATCTTTCTGTGCTGCATGAAAGGTTTTAAGTTTGGTTGAAGTTTGCCATAAAAATAGTTTGCCTTTGGCTTACCAGTAACAGTAATAATTTAGAAGTTGTAAATCATGTCAGATGAAATCATGTCCTAAGTTTATATCTGTTGGTCTACATGTATTCATCAAATTAATATTAACCTATAGAAAGTAACCTCCCTGTTCACCTTTACAGCAAATCAAGAGAGATGCTTGTGGAAAGATAATTCTGGGCAAATGCTTAATTTTACGTCCTTTGTCACTACAGAAAGAGCTGAAGAATGTTTATTCTGTTAGACTTGACTTTTTTTTTTAAAAAAAAAAAAGCTTTAAAGGAACACTCTTGAGGTAATCAAAAAATTGAAAGACTGGCTGTTACTAGGTAGAGTGCTGCTACTTAAAAT